ACAGCCCACCCATGACACGCAGGGACAGAGTGAACACACACAGCCCACCCACCCATGACACGCAGGGACAGAGTGAGCACACACAGCATACCTACACATCACACACACAGTGTGAGCACACACAGCCCACCCATGACACGCAGGGACAGAGTGAACACACACAGCATACCTACACATCACACACACAGTGTGAGCACACAGCCCGCCCACCCATGACACGCAGGGACAGAGTGAACACACACAGCACACCTACACATCACACACACAGTGGGAGCACACAGCCCACCCATGACACGCAGGGACAGAGTGAGCACACACAGCATACCTACACATCACACACACAGTGGGAGCACACAGCCCACCCACCCATGACACGCAGGGACAGAGTGAACACACAAAGCATACCTACACATCACGCATACCTACACATCACACACACAGTGTGAGCACACACAGCCCACCCATGACACGCAGGGACAGAGTGAACACACACAGCATACCTACACATCACACACACAGTGGGAGCACACACAGCCCACCCACCCATGACACGCAGGGACAGAGTGAGCACACACAGCATACCTACACGTCACACACACAGTGTGAGCACACACAGCCCACCCATGACACGCAGGGACAGAGTGAACACACACAGCATACCTACACATCACACACACAGTGGGAGCACACACAGCCCACCCACCCATGACACGCAGGGACAGAGTGAGCACACACAGCATACCTACACATCACACACACAGTGTGAGCACACACAGCCCACCCATAACACACAGGGACAGAGTGAGCACACACAGCATACCTACACATCACACACACAGTGTGAGCACACAGCCCGCCCACCCATGACACGCAGGGACAGAGTGAACACACAAAGCATACCTACACATCACACACACAGTGGGAGCACACACAGCCCACCCACCCATGACACGCAGGGACAGAGTGAACACACAAAGCATACCTACACATCACGCATACCTACACATCACACACACAGTGTGAGCACACACAGCCCACCCATGACACGCAGGGACAGAGTGAACACACACAGCATACCTACACATCACACACACAGTGGGAGCACACACAGCCCACCCACCCATGACACGCAGGGACAGAGTGAGCACACACAGCATACCTACACGTCACACACACAGTGTGAGCACACACAGCCCACCCATGACACGCAGGGACAGAGTGAACACACACAGCATACCTACACATCACACACACAGTGGGAGCACACACAGCCCACCCACCCATGACACGCAGGGACAGAGTGAGCACACACAGCATACCTACACATCACACACACAGTGTGAGCACACACAGCCCACCCATAACACACAGGGACAGAGTGAGCACACACAGCATACCTACACATCACACACACAGTGGGAGCACACACTGCCCACCCATGACACGCAGGGACAGAGTGAGCACACACAGCATACCTACACATCACACACACAGTGGGAGCACACAGGCCACCCACCCATGACACGCAGGGACAGAGTGAACACACAAAGCATACCTACACATCACACACACAGTGTGAGCACACACAGCCCACCCACCCATGACACGCAGGGACAGAGTGAACACACACAGCATACCTACACATCACACACACAGTGGGAGCACACACAGCCCACCCACCCATGACACGCAGGGACAGAGTGAACACACACAGCATACCTACACATCACACACACAGTGGGAGCACACACTGCACGCCCACCCATGACACGCAGGGACAGAGTGAACACACACAGCATACCTACACATCACACACACAGTGGGAGCACACACTGCACGCCCATGCATGACACACAGACAGGATAGTGTGTGCACACACGTGACACACACGGACAGTGTGAGCCATGTAGCATATCCACACACGTCATACAAGGAGGAACAATGTGAGCACACAGATCACACCCACACATTAGACATACACAAACAGTGTGAATACAGCACACACGCATGGTACATACAAGGACAATGTGAGCACATACAACACACCCACATGACACACACACAAGGACAGTGTGAGCACACACAGAACACAGCATATATCACACACAGAGACAGTGAGCACACACAGAACACCCACATGTGACACACACAAGACAGTGTGAGCACACACAGATCACATACACATGACACACACACAGACAGTGAGCACACACGGAACACCCACATGTGACACACATACAAGACAGTGTGAGCACACACAGATCACATACACATGACACACAGACAGTGAGCACACACGGAACACCCACTATGACACACATACAAGACAGTGTGAGCACACACAGATCACATACACATGACACACACACAGACAGTGAGCACACACAGAACACCCACTATGACACACATACAAGACAGTGTGAGCACACACAGATCACATACACATGACACACACACAGACAGTGAGCACACACGGAACACCCACTATGACACACATACAAGACAGTGTGAGCACACACAGATCACATACACATGACATACACACAGACAGTGAGCACACACGGAACACCCACTATGACACACATACAAGACAGTGTGAGCACACACAGATCACATACACATGACACACACACAGACAGTGAGCACACACAGAACACCCACTATGACACACATACAAGACAGTGTGAGCACACACAGATCACATACACATGACACACACACAGACAGTGAGCACACACAGAACACCCACTATGACACACATACAAGACAGTGTGAGCACACACAGATCACATACACATGACACACAGACAGACAGTGAGCACACACGGAACACCCACTATGACACACATACAAGACAGTGTGAGCACACACAGATCACATACACATGACACACACACAGACAGTGAGCACACACAGAACACCCACTATGACACACATACAAGACAGTGTGAGCACACACAGATCACATACACATGACACACAGACAGTGAGCACACACAGAACACCCACTATGACACACATACAGGACAGTGTGAGCACACACAGATCACATACACATGACACACACACAGACAGTGAGCACACACGGAACACCCACTATGACACACATACAAGACAGTGTGAGCACACACAGATCACATACACATGACAGACACACAGACAGTGAGAACACATGGAACACCCACTATGACACACATACAAGACAGTGTGAGCACACACAAATCACATACACATGACACACACACAGACAGTGAGCACACACAGAACACCCACTATGACACACATACAAGACAGTGTGAGCACATACAGATCACATACACATGACACACAGACAGTGAGCACACACAGAACACCCACTATGACACACATACAAGACAGTGTGAGCACACACAGATCACATACACATGACACACAGACAGTGAGCACACACGGAACACCCACTATGACACACATACAAGACAGTGTGAGCACACACAGATCACATACACATGACACACAGACAGTGAGCACACACGGAACACCCACTATGACACACATACAAGACAGTGTGAGCACACACAGATCACATACACATGACACACACACGGACAGTGAGCACACACGGAACACCCACTATGACACACATACAAGACAGTGTGAGCACACACAGATCACATACACATGACACACACAGACAGTGAGCACACACGGAACACCCACTATGACACACATACAAGACAGTGTGAGCACACACAGATCACATACACATGACACACAGACAGTGAGCACACACTGAACACCCACTATGACACACATACAAGACAGTGTGAGCACACACAGATCACATACACATGACACATAGACAGACAGTGAGCACACACGGAACACCCACTATATACACATACAAGACAGTGTGAGCACACACAGATCACATACACATGACACACACACAGACAGTGAGCACACACAGAACACCCACTATGACACACATACAAGACAGTGTGAGCACACACAGATCACATACACATGACACACACACAGACAGTGAGCACACACAGAACACCCACTATGACACACATACAAGACAGTGTGAGCACACACAGATCACATACACATGACACACACACTGACAGTAAGCACACACGGAACACCCACTATGACACACATACAAGACAGTGTGAGCACACACAGATCACATACACATGACACACAGACAGTGAGCACACACGGAACACCCACTATGACACACATACAAGACAGTCTGAGCACACACAGATCACATACACATGACACATAGACAGACAGTGAGCACACACGGAACACCCACTATATACACATACAAGACAGTGTGAGCACACACAGATCACATACACATGACACACAGACAGACAGTGAGCACACACAGAACACCCACTATGACACACATACAAGACAGTGTGAGCACACACAGATCACATACACATGACACACACACTGACAGTAAGCACACACGGAACACCCACTATGACACACATACAAGACAGTGTGAGCACACACAGATCACATACACATGACACACACACTGACAGTAAGCACACACGGAACACCCACTATGACACACATACAAGACAGTGTGAGCACACACAGATCACAGCATATATCACACACACAGGGACAGTATGAGCACACACAGCATACACATATGACATATGCAGAGATGGTGTGATCATGCACAGCACACCCACACATGACACACACGGGGAATGTGGGAGCGCATGTGCCACACCCACGTGACATACATACATAAAAGGCATGAGCTAACACACCCTCGAACCCAGGTTGCCCACTCATAGACCCAGCTAAGATCCCAGTCTGCGTCCAAGGACACCCTCAGCATCCACTCACGCCCACAGCTTCTCCTGTGGGCCCCACCCTCATCGACAGTCAGGTTGTACAAATCTGCGTTGACCTATGAGCCATACAAGATCAGCCTGACATCTCAGCCCAAGGGGTGAACAAGTACCAAATAAAGCCACACTTACTCTTGTTGTAGCAGGTTGCCAGCACACCTTTATCTGCGGGGCTGGCACTGATATGCCAGATCTCACCCACTTGATGGAGGAGAACATTTTTATTTATAATGTTATTTTCATCATCGAAATCTATGATGTGAATCTACAAAGAAAAAAGGGTCATATCAGGGTCTCAGTTGCTTGGTATTGTAAAAAAAGCTTCATGGTCACAAGAAGAATCAAACACGTATTTCAAAGCAGAAGCAGCTTCCACTACGATACTTACAGTAGCATTATAACACTCCTGCAGTCTGATGCCTACTCCTGTCTCTCCAACGTCCCCCTGTGCAGGGTTTTACATGGTAAGCTTACATAACATGGCCTCTGTTGCCCAGCTCCCACCTGGCTCCTATTTGTAGATTGTGTTTGTAGCCAGCCTGGAAAGAGAAATTCCTGAAACCCATATCTCTGATTGACTAGCAAAAAACCAAAACTGAAGGCATGGCTTAAGTATATAACACCAGTATTGAAAGAAAAAGTCAATCAAGGCCCTGACTTCAAGCCCCAGTACAGGCAGAAAGAAATAAAGAAATAAAGGAAGGAAGGAAGTTGATCAAAGACCTCAATGTCTGACCTAAAGCTCTGAAATTATTGCAAGAGGAAATAGGAGAAACAGTTGAACTTATAGGCAAAGGCAAAACTTTTTTAAAAGAATCCCAGAGACACAGCAGATAAGCGAGAGACTTGAACAATGGGATTACATCAAAATACAAAGTTTCTGGGGCTGGGAAGGTGGCTCAGTGATAGAGCGCTTGCCTTGCATGCATGAGGCCCTGGGTTCGATTCCCCAGCACCACATAAGCAAAAAGCCGGAAGTGGTGCTGTGGCTCAACTGGTAGAGTGCTAGCCTTGAGCTGAAGAGCTGAGGGACAGCGCCCAGGCCCAGAGTTCAGGCCCCACGACTGGACCCCCCCCCCCCAAAAAAAAAAAATATATTCAAAATACAAAGTTTCTGCACAGCAGAGGACATAGAAAATTAGAAAGACAGACAACAACAACAACAACAAAGATAAAAAGAAAAAAGAAAGACAGTCAACAGACTGGGAGGAGATCTTTACCAGCAGTATATATGACAAAGGTCTAATATTCAAAGTATACAAGGAACTCAAGAAACTAACCCCTCCCAAAGCTAACAAACCAGTCACTGAATGGGCAACGAAGATGAGAGACGTCTCAGAAGAGGTAAAATGACAAAGAAACACATGAGGAAATGCTCATCATCTCCCGCTATAAAGGAAACACAAATCTAAAATACACTGGGATCTAAAATATACAGGACTCTAGACATCCACACACAGTGAGACCACAGGAGGACAGTCTTAGGGGAGGAACACAAAGGCACAAGGCCTGTGTGCCTGTGGCCATATATAATATTTATCTAGCCAGGCGCCAGTGGCTCACACCTTTAATTCTAGCTACTCAGGAGGCTGAGATCTGAGGATCGCGGTTCAAAGCCAGCCCGGGCAGGAAAGTCTATGAGACTTTTTTTTCTTTTTTGGGGGGGAGGGGGCGTGGTCATGGGCCTGAACTCTGGGCCTGGGTGCTGTCCCTCAGCTCTTCAGCTCAAGGCTAGCACTCTACCATAGCGCCACTTCCGCCTTCTTTTTTTCTGGTTATGTGGTGCTGAGGAATCGAACCCAGGGCCTCATGCATGCAAGGCAAGTGCTTTATCACTGAGACACTTTCCCAGCCCTTCCCCACCCCCACCCCTCCGCCACTATCCCCCCCCACCCCGTGAGACTCTTATCTCCAATAAACCACTAGAAAACCGGAAGTAGCACTGTGGCTCAAGCGGTAGAACCCTTGCCTTGAGCTGAAGAGCGCAGGGACAGCGTCCAGGCCCAGAGTTCAAGCCCCACGACCAGCATAAATCAATTAATTAATTAATATTTATCAAAATGAGCTCCAAGAAATAGAAAGGAGGGTTTTTTCCTTTGTTGTTTTATTTTATTCATGTTTTATTTGTTCCTTTTTCTGTCCTTGGGAAGGTAAGACAGTGGCACCGAAATGGAGGGACAAAGGGTGAACAAATGGTACTCTCTAGACTCGATGTTGAAAATGAGCTATACACATGCAGGTGGGAACAGGAGGGACAAACTGGGAGGCAAGGGGTGACACTGTCCAAGAAGAAATGAACTCTCTACCTGACTTGTATAACTTGTAACCCCTCTATACATCACCTTAGTAATAACAAGTTTCAAAACTTTAAGGTGCAAGTCAGAAGTGACTAAGATGAGCCACCTTCCCAGCCCCCTGGGTTCGATTCCTCAGCACCACATAAGCAGAAAAAGCTGAAAGTGGCGCTGTGGCTCACGTGGAAGAGTACTCGCCTTGAGCTGAAGAGCTGAGGGGCAGCGCCCAGGCCCAGAGTTCAGGCCCCATGACCAGCAAAAACAAAAAAAAAGATAAAAAGAAGTGACTAAGATGAGAAGGTAATGTGTTTTAAAACATTTGTTATCTGCTTGACCTATGCTTGCTTATTTATCATGCATTCCTTGTACAAAGGGGTTTCAATGTAACATTTCTACACTGCTAAATTATGTATCCAAATCACCTTGCCTCATCATTCTACCTTACTCTTCTCACTTCTAAAACCATTTGACAGGTTTCACTGTTCTATTTTCATACCTGCAAACAAACTACCTGGACCACATTCATCCTCATTCTCCCTCTTTCTTAGCCCTCCCCCTCCCACTGCTACCTTACCCCCAGAGCTTGTTTTGCTTTCCAGTCAGCTTCTTTTCCTCAGGTTAGAAGTGACTAAGATGGGAAGACTATTTTAACACATTTTAATTCCTTTTGAAAATGAAGCCAGGGGCTGAGAATGTGAGTAAGTGGCATAGTGCTTGCCTAGCATGCATGAAGCCCAGGGTTCGATTCCTCAGTGCCATATACACAGGAAAAGTCAGAAGTAGCACTGTGGCTCAAGTGGTAGAGTGCTAGCCTTGAGCAAAAGAAGCTCACGGACAGTGCCCAGACAATGCCCCAGGACTGGCAAAAAAATAAATAAGGCCAACATATGTAAATGCTTATGGTCATTTATATTACAATGTAATTAAATTTAGGTTACTAAGTAAAAAGATTAAATATGATATCTATATATCTTTCTGGATATTTGTTATAGAAATTACAATGATTTGGGGCTGGGAAGGTGGCTCAGTGGTAGAGCACTTGCCTTGCATGCATGAGGCCCTGGGTTCGATTCCTCTGCACCACATAAGCAAAAAGAAAAAACCTGGAAGTGGTGCTGTGGCTCAAGTGGTAGAGCGCTAGCCTTGAGCTGAAGAGCTGAGGGACAGCGCCCAGGCTGAGTTCAGGCCCCACGACCGTAACAAAAAAAACAACAAAAAAAAGAAATTACAATGATTTCCAAATTTACACTCCTATCAATATTCAAAGCAATGAGAAAGCATAATTCTTCTACAGGTAAAATTATACTAAGAAAATAATCATGGGCCAGGCTGATGGCTCACCTCTGTAATTCTAGCTATTCAAGAGGCTGAGATCTGAGGACTGTGGTTCAAAGCCAGCTGACAGAAAAATCCAAGAGACTATTATTGAACTTTTTTCCCTTTTTTTAGTTTGTGATTATTCTTCACCTATGCATGGCGTATTAAACGTCTATCTTCAGAAGGGCTGGGGGGAAGATACAGAACTTGAGGGGAAATGGATGAGAAAGTACAGCAGTGGAGCTCACTGGACACTGATGAAAGTGAACTGTGCAAGCGGTGGGTGGAGACGGGAGGGAAGGACTGGGAGAGAGCGAGGGAACAGAAGACACTGTATGACTCATTGAACTGTAATCCCTCTGAACATCTTCTCCATAATAACAGTAAATTAATTTTTAAAAAACATCTGTATGCAAGTTAAAAAAAGAGAGACTACTATCTCCAATAAACAAGCAAACACGCTGGAAGTGGAGCTGTGGCTCAAGTAATAGAGAGTTCCATGCTCCCAAGGAGGACTGTGGAGGGTTCATGAGGAAGACTGCGGAGGTCCAAGGTCCCGAGGAGAACTGCGGAGGTCCACGCTCCCGAGGAGGACTGCCGAGGTCCACCCTCAGGAGGACTGCAGAGGTCCACGCTCCCGAGGAGGACTGCAGAGGTCCACCCTCAGGAGGACTGCCGAGGTCCACCCTCAGGAGGACTGCGGAGGTCCACCCTCAGGAGGACTGCGGAGGTCCACCCTCAGGAGGACTGCGGAGGTCCACCCTCAGGAGGACTGCAGAGGTCCACGCTCCCGAGGAGAACTGCGGAGGTCCACGCTCCCGAGGAGGACTGCGGAGGTCCGTGCTCCCGAGGAGGACTGTGGAGGTCCACGGTCCCGAGGAGGACATGCGGAGGTTCACGCTCCCGAGGAGGACTGCGGAGGTCCACCCTCACCAGGAGGACTGCAGAGGTCCACGCTCTGCACACACTGTCATCACCGTGAACTGGAAGCCAGCCACAGCCCCAGAGCTGGGTGAGGCATTGTTCAGGCCTGCCCAGGACACCGGCCTACTGCAATGCCTGGCCTAACACAGACAGGTCATCCCCAGATTTTGCAGGGAGACCCTCCAGCTATCATCAGGGCACTACTTCCTGCACTCCTGGAGGACAGCTGCTCGCTCACAAAGCACACACCTGAGCAAAGAACCAGGGGGCCATTGGTTGCACAGTGGGTTTACTGCTTCATTTCACCTCCACACCCAAGGACACTGTATCTCAAGTCACCTTCCTCCGTGACCAGTGATCCTGTCACATGTCTTAAAAACGTCAAATGTTTAAAAATGAAGAAAGCGTCAAGTGATGAGTGATTATAGAGGAAACTATTAAGGTTTAGGACAGATACACATGTACACATCCTATGACCCAGGGATCCCACGTGATCCCACCAGACAAATCTGAACATGGAAGAGGATGAGCGTCACAGGAGACTTCCTCAGGACAGTGCAGGTGGCAAAGCCAGGTGTCCACCAACCACAGGACAGGAGGAAGACTGCGGCCCCCCACGGACTGGAATACTAACGCAGGCTGAGCGCACAGCAGCCACGCTGTTCCCGGGCTGTCCCTCCTGTGGCCCCCTCCACATGGGGCTTAAAGCCAGGCCACTATGAAAGGATAA